CTTGCAGACAGACTAGATAGTATTTGATCATCATTTATTCCTTTGCTCACTCAGCCGATACTGAGTGAGCACTTTCTGTGAGCCAGGCACGGTGGTAGGCACTGGGTATGAAGATTTAAATAAACATGGCTCCTTTCCCTCATGGCCTTGTGATAGAATGAGTAAAGTCCATCAGGTTAGGTCTAAAGGCATAAAGAGAGAGAATAAGGTGAGATCTCTTTCATGTAACAGGAAACTCCATTGGTAAGCACGATTGGGAGCTAAGTCTGTGTGTAAAAAGTGCTAGAGTGCATTTACTCCTAGAGATCGTGTGGACTTACGCTGCAGTTTTTTTTTTTTTTTTTTTTTTATTTCTAGGAGAGAGAGAGAGAGAGAGAGACAGCATGATCAGGGGAGGGTCAGAGAGAGAGAGGGAGTCACAGACTGAAACAAGCTCCAGGCTCTGAGCTGGCAGTCAGCACAGAGCCCGACGCGGGGCTCGAACCCACGAACCGTGAGATCATGACCCAAGTGAAAGTCGGACGCTTACCCAACTAAGCCACCCAGGCGCCCCTATGCTGCAGTTCTTAATCATAGTGTCCTGCTGCTCAGTGTGAGTGGAAGGGCTGTGATTCCCAAATAGACCTATATAGAACTGGTGGGAATGGGCTCAGGTGAACAGTGTCTGGCAGGTAAAGGTTGTCATAAATGCCCTTACACTTAAAGGAGAGAAGGTGATCATGGGCCCACGAGTGGTCAGGGAAAGGTTTATGAAGGCCAGAGGGATTGAACTGGGCTTTATAGCATTTCAGTAGGTGGATTTCATTTGTTTTTTCCTTTTTATTTGGGCTACTGCTATGTGCCAAGTACAGTTTTAAGTATGGGAGGTAGAACAACGAGCACAGCAGACAAGACCACCGCTCTCCACGAGCTTATAGTTTGGAATGGGGAAGGGAGACAAGTAATAACGATGTTAATAAGATCATTCTACATAGTGTTAAATGCAATGACAATTAAAAATCAGGGTTAGAGAGGGTAATGAGGGTGCTGGTGGCGTTGGTGAGACTTTATTTTGGGTGGTTGGAAAGTCATCTCTGAGGAGACTATACTTGAATGAAACCTCAGTCTGAGAAGGGGCCAGGCATGCAACAATCTCTGGAAAGAGACCTGAGGTTGACGGACAAAACCATAAAGATGAGATGATGCGTTGTATGGGGGGTTACCCAACAAAGAGCGCCACCCGTACGGGGCCTGGTTGAAACAGAGGCTGAAAGGCACAGGTTAGTGCCAAATTAAGGAGGGTCTTGAATATCCGCATGGCACAAGACTAAGGGCTGTGTGTTTCTGTGTGTATCGGGGTGAGTTGGTAGGTCAGAGGAGGAGAATCAGGATGAATTTATCATGGAAACTTATGGAAGCTTGTGCTATGATGAGGGACACTCAAATAACATAATGTCCAAATGACTTCCTGTTGGAAACTGAGTGTCGTCCTGAAGGGCGGCACGCGCGGTACTTGGTTGAGCACTTCAGGTCAGGGGGATACAGGTGGACTGTCCTGCCCGTGAGATCATGGAGGCTTTGACAAAGGTAACCTGCCACCCAGTGTCAGGGACTGTACTTATTAAAGGTGGTATATTCTATGTCAGATATGATAGACCAGGTTCCTTTTGTGATAAGCCCCCTTGGAATACAAAACTAATTGTATTTTTATTAATGTGAAGAGATGGTCTTTATTACTCTAAAATGTTTCTATGAAAGGAAAGAGAAAAGTTGAGATCTGATTCAATCCAGGTTGATAGAGAAAAGTGTGTTTAAAAAAAGGATCATTTGTGAAATAACTATATGCATATATTTACTAAAGGAAAAACTACCTCCAAAATGTTGATATAATTCTCTAGAGAAATGTATTTAGGCAGTGAAGGGATTCCTGGCAGTGACTGAGAAGCCCGGTAATGGGGAACTGCACTTGATCTCTTTTGAGGTTGATTCTGATGTGTGTAGTCTTTACATCCTATTAAATTTTTGAAAGATAAACTGATACAAGAATGATTTGCCAAGGCTAGCAACTCTTCCTTTTAAAACCTTGGCTCAGTGTACTCGCTGAAGGGATGGGGGAGTAAGATAAAAGCATTATAAATATGAGGTTAACTGAATTCAAATAGAAGGTTCTCTCAAGTTATTGCATTCCTTAGAAAATAAATACATTGCGCATATGGTTAAGATTGATCAAAAAAGTATTCTGTATGCCAGTGATTACATTCCCATCTGTGATTAAGGTTTTCTGTCTGCATCTGGTTTTCACATTATATTTCTGTAACAAGAATCCTTTATATAGCAGAGTTCACTTTCTGTATTTTCTATTAGCTGCAGCTTGAACTACTGCACGGATCGTAGATTTACACATGTGGTTTTCATTACTTCATACCATTGAGAAAAAGTAATATTTGTTTGGGAATGTATGTTTTCCACAATTTCCATGGTAATACAACATGTTGAGCCTTTTTAATAACACTCTTGTAGAACTACAAATTGTTTGAGGCATTCTACTCTTGGTGGAGCTTAGCTTTTAAACTTTTCTCAGTGTATGTTCCCCTCATAATGATGTGTAACGACTTTGAAAGCTGAGGATCCGAACAAAGCAATGATTAAAGATAAAGAACTTCTACTGTGATTTGCAGGTGATAACAGTCCTTAGTGTGGAACACGCACCGCAGATATCTGGATGTGTGTTTAATCGTGTTCAGTGCCATTACTTATTTTATACAGTTCATTTTGGGAGACCATTTAATGTGTTGGACGCACAAAGCACAAACATAATACTCCAAAGTCGTCATTTGAAAAAAAAAATAAACATTAGCTTTTTTTTTTTTTTTTGGATAATCCTATTGATTTTGATACAGTGTTTCATATGTAAACTAGTTTAGTGGGGAAAATCCTCATGGGTAACTTTAGGTGTACATTGTATATTATTTGAATGTGTATTTCTATGCCATGTTAACATTTGAGAATTTATAAACATGCCGCACATTTAAAATATTTTGTAACACTATTTCCCTGCCAACGTTTCTCCATTCACTTCAGAAAACTCTGATTAAAATAGACACAAGTTAAAAAGTGAAACAGTATATTCTACCTAGGGGAAGAGGAATCATTTGTAATTGAGAAATTATCTTTTAAAGGAAGTTTGTCCACACAGTAATTTTCTGTGCCTCAACACTGAGATCTACTACACCATTTTTGTTAATAGATATAGATATCAGTCACTATTTAGCAGTTGTGAGAAGGAAGAAATAGACCTAGACTCTAGAGGGTTTATATGTGCTTTGCCTGTTTCATTTGTCCAGTGGAGATTATGAACTTTGGCCCACACAGGCACAATCCACTCTTAATCAGTTTCTCTGATGTCTTTAGTTGGTGTTTGTTGAAGCACAAAATAGTATAAAATACCATGTTTGAATCTAAGAAAAGTAGCCATTTTCTCCTCTCCCCCCATAGTATTTATTTATTCTCTATTTATAAAGTATCCTTACCTTAGTATAGAAACATTGGAAATAGAATTGTGTAGAAACTTACCCATATTTCCATCTTCCAGTAACAATTATTTAACGTCTAGATGTATTTACTTCCAGTCTCCCCTTCTTGCACCCCGATCCCCCCCTCCCCCCCCCGCCCCGTATGGGACTGTTTACGTATGTGTACATGTATCTGTGTATCTGGGTCATTTTCTTACTGAAAAAATTTTTTGGTCATTTGTTAGGTTACATGGTAAGCTAAATGTTTCCAAGTATCGGCTGGATGTTTTTACTGATCTTTGCTGAGTTTCCAGGCAATTTTCAATGAAAAAATAACTAGTACTGTAATTTTCCTAAATGTTGTTTATTTAATTTGTGCCATAAGGAATAAGAAACAACTGATTGCATGATGCAGAGTGATAACGTGGCCGATAAAGGGCATTGACTGTTTTTAATAGAATCTGCCTGTTTCTCTACATCAGATTATATTCACTAGTTTTAATTTCTAAGGAGTAATACTATGGTTTCTTAAAAAAATAATAGCAGTGACCTTAGTAATACTTTTTGAGACTGCTTTTATAAATCTTTATTCCTTTGTATTTACTGAGTTCCTCCCTTTTGTGCATATGATTGTGCTTGAATTTTAGTTCATGAATTATAAGAATGAAATAGTGATACTTTTTTCTACACACAGTAGTGGTAGTAATAGTGGGTGAGTAATAATAGGCAGTCAATAAGTATTTGAGAATGGATGAATGAATGAATTCTAAAGCTGCCAAATCTAGCAGGAAAAACGAGATAATTTGGATGACTTTAGAGAAACAAAGTAGTAGAAGTTTGTTGATTTGGTAAAATGGTTCACCAATAATTGTTGTTACTAATATTTTAAAACTACACAGGTTATTTGTGATTATTATCAGTTGTTTAAAACTATTTGAGCAAATAATGGCAATGTTTAAATTTGAGAACAGTGAAACAATCTGGACACCACTTTGTTTTGAAATAGAATTTGATTTGCATGTAATATTCTGTAAAATAAAATAAACACATAATGTTTCAAAGCATTTTCTAAAGAAACCGTGATATCTGACATCTTACTTAATTTTTCATTGAACAAGGTAACAAGCTAACAATTCTTTCAAGGTATTGATGTACATATGTTATAAACCAGTCAAAGGAAGAGGAGTTGCCAGGTTTGAGTCAGATGCCTGGAGTTTTAAGAGTTTTTTTTCTAGAACGTGTCATTACAGGAACTGAGAAAATGGAAATTGTTTTGGACTCTTCCGAAATTTAGAAGAGCTTGTATCTGTTTCTTAATGCAAACAAAACAAAACTGGTCTACTATTATCGTGTAAGTGGACGGGTGTGATACTTCAGCCTGGTTGTGATATATGCATTTTTTTTCCCTTTGTTGTTGTCAATAGAAAAGATTGATCTCTGGGCTGGTGAACATAATATCTGTCCCAGTCCGAAAAGGAGAGAGGAAATTAGCAGAGCGATTGGTGGAGAATGATATCTGTCAAAAGAAACACTTGGAGAGCACTGAGTTTAGTAATAGGTGACTGCCGGAAAAAAGGGAACTTTGAATATTGTCAAGGTAAGGAACAGACAAATGTTTTGATTTTGCAATTTACTTACCAAAAAAAAAATCACTCTTATATTTTCCCCATCCATTATAATCATGAAGATTTTTTTTCTTCTTCTTTCCTTTAGTGCCTGTTAATAAAGAATTTGTATTGTATATTTTAAAAATTTGTTTTTGAAGTCTTCGGGTGTGGGATTGGGCGGGGATCAATCAGCCTGGCTGTGGGAACCCTTGTTTGATAGCTTTGGGCCTGAAGATCTCAAATGATCAAGTACCAAATTTCTTTCCCACCCTCTCCTTGTTGGAGTACCATGTTTCATAATACATCTGTTATAAGCTGAGCAATACTTGGAGTTAAAGAGTAAAAGCTATGCCATGATTTCTGTGTTTATTGTAACTTGAGATGGTGTTTTTCTGAAACAGTTTGTTGACTAAAGACGGAAAAAAAAGTGCTTGTCAGTTTATTATTTCTTCTAATTGATCTGGATTTTTTTTTTAACTTTTAGGTGAATGTTACTTCCTAAGCAGAATTCATCATCCTAGGCACATTAAAAAAAAACAAAAACAAAAACAAAAAAAACAAAAAAACCACTAACTTTAGGGAAATGGCAAATATAAACTGAATATGTTACCATTTGGCAAGAGGTTTCTTAAAGCCTGCAACATTTCAAAATGAAGGAGGACCCTGAATTACGGGTTCCAGAGAGTTGATGCCTCCTGTAGCCAGCTCAGTTTTAGGTTTACTGGACTTGGGCAGAAGCACAGATGAATAAAGATGAGCTGTGCCAGGAAAAAGTTGAGAGTTAACACAAATGTTGTGTAATATTGGTTGGCACTCTAGTGATTGGGAAGGGATTTTTGAAGTTCTTTGACTGCCTGCCTGACTACATGGAAAGAGGGGTAGCAAAATATTTACCATCTGTGGCCATGGTTCTGGAAACATCGCTGCTGGTGCCCACCCCACAGTATCTACTCTTGCAATTGCTGCAAATACTTATTGGCTTGTTCTGTAAGTTTCCAAGAAGGCGTTGGCAAATGAGGATGTTTGTGTTTTTTGAAAGACCATAGAAAATGAAATGATTTTCCGTATAATTACAGAATCCTCTGAGGTAGCCTAAATTGTGATTTAGTTTCTCTGTATTTCTCTTCCTTTCATTCCCACTCCCTCATCCTATGATGATCTTTTCCAGTAATTAATGAGAGAGAAGGCAAGGAATTTAGCTTTATTAAGTAGCTGAGACATCTCTCACCTCTGTTTCTACCTTCCTACCTCATGTACTATTGTTACTCGAAATTAATTTTTTGAGAACTCACATCTTGGTTGACTAGACTTCTCACAGCCAAAAATAGAAAGATGTCAATATCTTAAAGGAAACAAATAATAATAATGGTAACAACAACAACAGCAGCAGCAGCAAAAACCACTGCTTAGGAATTTGTTTCTTTCCATCTTCTATCAGAAGACAGTACTTGTTTGAAAAGAGAATAGAGCTCTGCTTTTGGCCTTATATAGTTATATGAAGGTTCTTAATAATATGGTCAAATAATCTAAGTTGCAGACTACCGATTGAAGAGGATATTGGATTTAAAAACTTGAGCATATGTGGCAGATCCATAGAGTCTTCGTCTTTACCCACCCTCATCTCATTACAATCCTCTTCTCCTCTGGTCATGTGGGCTCTGTTTGTGGCCTGCTGGCGGTGAACCATTGCAGCAAGGAAGACCCATATTGAAAGCAAAAGTGCATGACAAAGACACACATTTAAAAATGACTTAATGCATGTTGTTATAATATGCAGATACTGAATGGATAGCATCAGGTATCGAACACCATGCTGAGTTCTTTCTTTCCTATATGTGTGTGTCCATACATCCTTAAAAATACGATATGTGTACACACACACACACACACACACACACAGTATTTATATGTATTAATATTGTCTTGGCCTATTTTATAACCATTGGGCTAACTGTTGGGTTTTCCTTCTTTATTGTGTGGCATTGAAAATTTTACTCCTAGTTATTTCTTCCTTTTTGTAGAGGTAACGGGTGTATAGAGATACGGTGTTCAGACTCAAGTTGACTCAAGAAGTAGAGAAGAATAGAAATCCTATCCTTTAAATTTGCAAACACCTGGAATCCATTGGGTTCCTGGGGTTGTAATCTGGAGACAGGAAAAATAAAGAACTATGTGAAGTTGAACAGTGGGGGCTCTAAGTGAGAACGGCCTGAGGTGGCGCCAGAGAGTCTGGTCTGTGTAGTGAGTTGGTGGGTCAGGGGGAGTCCAGTTGTCACCAGGAGACAGACCTGCTGCTGGGGGAGGTTGGGAGGAAGGTGGGGGGAATGGGAATGATGCCGAGCTGAGTGGACAACCACCAGTTTAGGTAGAAGCTGGTAAAGGCAAAATGCTGCTGTTTCCCCCATGTGTTGAAGCATGCCCAAACTAAGCATGAGGCTTGTCTTCTAGAATGTGATTTGAAGCTAGACTCCTTTGTGAGGAGTGGGTGGATTTAGGACAGCTAGGGAGTGGTTGTTCTTAGAAGCCACGAAAGGAAAATACTAAGAAGGGTCCAGTATTTGTCATATTAAAAATAAAAAAGGATTCACTGGCTGCCTAAAGATGCCAGGGGAGTAGCATGGGAGATCATTAGGACGGGAGAAACTTCTGTTGCAGAGTGGTGTGTATCTGCCTTCATCTCATGTGGTGACATATTTATACAGTTCCAATGCATAGATATTGTGTGGGGTTCAGAAGCCACATTCGTATTTTTAAAACGCATGACTTTCTTTAAAGTTAATTTAAATGGTGCAGCGCACCTTTAAATATTGTTATCTTTATTAGGAAACGAGAAAAGTGATTTTCTCACGCAAAATTGCTGGGTTTTGAGAGCGTCTGCGTTTATTTTTAGTTTTTCTTGGTCATGTTCAAGGGGTCTGAGAGCATTAATGGGCTTTACCCCACATGGAGCTTTGAGCTTATTGCAGCACTACACGCTGAACCCAGGTCAGTGTGACGCGTGAAATCAATTTATTTGAATCTCTTTGCCTCTATAGGAATTTGGCAGCATGCCAGTTGTTTTCATTTAATGTTCTTTGTGTTGAACACAGACAAGCAGGCACGCTTTTGTATTCCTCTCTCCTTTGGTCTCTGTCTCTTTCAGCCAATATTTTACTCTATGGATTTTGAGATGAAGGAAGAATATATTATTTATATGATTCTAATCATTGCTTAATGTGTGTGTGTGTGTGTGTGTGTGTGTGTGTGTATAAATGTACCACTTTCATTTCTTTTAAGGGATATTTTTATATTCCTGAGCTTTCATGGTGACTTCCTTTGTACACAAATAGAGTTTTTGTTTAAATGACATTTTTCGAAGAAACGTAATAAACCACATCATAAGTGGTGTTTACTTTGCCATTAATGTCCATTATCAAAACCGAAAATAACAATATTAATTATACAACCCAGCACACGTTGAATTTGTGAACTGGACTATCCAAATCATTTCTTGGGGAGCTTTTTTGAATTTTTTTGAAGATTTACACTTTAATCAAGCAACACATGGTAAGGAAAACAGGATTATTATTTGGGTATTATTTTCTTCGAATAACCCATCTTAATTAAGACCCCAGTGCTTTGCATAGATTTGTTGCATATGAATTTTTATGAGGTTCCTGCCTTAGGTCATTTTTCTTTTCTGCTTTTTAAAAATTGGGGGGTAGTGACCGGGAACAGCCACAGCACAGAGGTTTTTATTACAAATAGGCTCAGACCTTTCTGTGGATGTTTTTGTAGGGAGGATCCGTTTCTGGGTCAGCTTTGGGAAGAGGTGGGGAAGGAAACGAGAGAGAGCGGGAGAGGCGAATGCTGTGTTGATGCCCGGGGCAGTTCTTGCGGAAGTTGATATGCAGAACCAGGGAGCCACAGCGTCAGGGTCAGGCTCGTACCCAGAGCCCCGCTTCCTTGTTTAATTACCTGAAGAGCAAAACAGTCAGCCTGAGAGTGTGTGAAAACCCAGTATCTCCCGCAGCCGCCTGGCGCTCTGACATCCTGCAAGGCCAGCCCTGTCTGTCCGCCCGCGTCAGGCTGGCTCCCGCCCTGGGTTCCTTTCTTTCTGGATGCATTGTGTGGAAGAGGGCTTGGTCAGGAATCCGAGGTTCCTGCCAGTGCTGTGTCCCTGCTCTCTCCTTCTGGACTGTACCGACAGATACACTTTGTGGGGTTTTTTTTTTTTTGTTTTTTGTTTTTTAACGGATTTCAAAATAGGGCTCTTTTCATTTCACACTCTGGCCTTGCTCTGAAGCGTGATCTCTGTCAACGGCCACAGATATTAACCAGTGGGGCACTGGCCTTAGTTGATGTGTCCTATCTTCCTGATTCCTGCGATAGGGTGTCCTACGTGTGTTGCCTTTTTAGGTCAGACTCACTTGTAGCTCAGCGTGGAACTCGTGGTTCAGAGGTTGTTTGGATGAGGCAGTTTTAGAATCTTAATCTGGCCATGAGAATTGTCCATCTTGACACGAAGGTGCTAGAACTTTTAAGGCTGAGTTGATTTTTTTTTTTTTCCTGTCCTTGGAATTGGAATATGGACTTGGCTCGGAATATGTGGCTTGGAAGAGCCACACCCTTTGATGAAGCTGGGGGTGGCGAGGAATAATATTTGGACAGCGATGTGTGGTCAGTTTGAGGATTGTATAGGGTAAATATTCTGAGGAATGCTTGGAGATGGAGCCATTTGGGAGATCCCCAGAGTATAACGAGATGTTATCTTCCCAAGAGGAAATCTAGCAGGTTCTTTATCCACAGTGTGGGCTGATGAAACGTCCACGTGGTGGGTGGGGGAGCAAAGGTGATGATGGCGGGGTGGTTTCCTGCAAAGGGAGGGGAAAGTGTGACTACACATGCACTGATTCAGTTTTTCCAACCACTTCATGCGGATTCTGTCATGCAGGCTGAAGGGCATTTACCATTTAGATGCACTTACGCACGTGCCGTTGATGTTAATGGG